GCACTGCCATTCATCTGAGATATTAACTCAAGGTCATCTCAGTGTTTCCTCTGTAAACTTTCTAAGTGGGTGCTTATGTTCGCAGTAAAAGATAGCTCCGATATTTCCCCAGAATCCCCGGCTGAGTGGACGCAGGGTCCTTGACCCAGCCTTACTTGACCTCATAAAGAGCGTCTACCCTGACCAAGCCACCTGCCCCGGCATGGTGACCCCCTCATTGGTCACTGCATCGGGTCTAGTCCAACTCATAGCACCCCCATACGACAGTGCAGAGCTGCCCCATAGGGGGTTCTAGGCTGTCATCCGCATGGGGGCAGATGGCCACTTGGCCTTTCAGTTCGCAGCCAAGCACCTGACCATGTGCATGACCGTTGCTCCTTCCAAAATCCCGTTCTGAGAAACCTGTTTATCCTATCCTACAAAATAAGCCATGTAAAGCACAGTCACATTTCTTCAGTAAAGCCTCTTCTTTATCATTTGAAGGTGTATATGTGGGGGGACGGGACACTTAAAAACTCTGCCCCCAAACAATCTTGATACCAGATTTGGGGCAGTGGTAAATCTGAAGGTTTCAGGTAAAACTAAATGATCAAGGTCTAAGCCTGAGATCCATTTGAAATGCTCATCAAGTCTGAACTTTCTGCATGTTTTCAGAGCTAAGCTCAGTATAGACAAGTGTCAAGAATCCCTACAGAACCTTCTAGTACCTGGCGGAATTACTGATTGGAATTAAACACGAAAAGACCCAACAGGTGAGACCTGTGTGTGTCTGACAAAACAGGTATCCCTCTACAGGTCATTGCCTACTCAGATCAGATTCTATTTTGCTTGTTTACAAAGGCCCAATATCGATAAAGTATAACTAACAGCTGCCTATTGGAATAGTTTCATTGATGAATTAATAAGTAAGCATGTGACTCCAGGAAGCAGCTTGTGGGAAACATGGAGGGGGGAAAAAACAGATCCCTTTTCCAGTCTGGTCAATACTTCCAAGACACATCCATCAAGTGATGGAGAGACTGCCACTGGTGTACAATCCACTGGTCTGCTGCACACACTCAATGGGGAGCTAATGAGGTCACAACGCTGCTCGGTCTTCAGTCTCCTGAGTCACTGCTCCAGTAACGTGAAAACTACATTACCAGCTCCACCACAGTCAGAAGCCAGATTTGGGCTCAAACGCCAGCCCATCCGACCAGTCACAAAATGGTTCAAATGATAATACTCCTCCACAATGTAAGGAACCCACAGGAGCACTTCTGCCCTGTCCTACTGGGTCGCTATGAATCAGTCTCCACTCAAAGGCAGCAAGACAAAGTGGTCACTCTCAGAAGAAATTGACTCCCCGGCACACAACGGCAGCCTTTCGATACATTATGTCAGTAACGCTTATTACGTGCAAATACTCACTTGAACTGAAAACCAATCATAAGGAATTGCAAGGAGCCCTGGTGCTGATGTGGATTAAGCACTAGGTAGTGAACGGAAAGCCACCAGCCCACTCCATGGAAGAAAGATGAGGTGCCTGCTTCCGCACAGAGTATAGCTTTGGCGACCCTAGCGAGCAGTTCCACGCCCTCCACCTGGGTCACTATGGCATTGCAATCAACTTCACGGCAGTAGGCAGAAAGAGAATCGAGAGATCATTGTCTTAACAGAAAAAAAGAACTTAAAATTACAAATGTAGATCTTTAATTTTAATAAATCATTTTATTGGGGGCTCTTACAGCTCTTATAACGATCCATACCTCAATCGTATCGAGCATATTTGTATATATGTTGTCATCATCATTTCCATAATATTTTCTTTCTACTTGAATCCTTGGTATCAGCTCCTCTTCCCCCGCCCCACACCCTCCCAAACACTTGAAAATTAATAAATTATTTTTATTTTCTCATATTTTACACCGTCCGCTGTCTCCCTTCACACGTTTCTGTTGTTCATTCTTGGGGGGGGGGGGGGTTTGTACATCAATCATTGCAATTGGTTCCCTCTTTATCCCCCTATTCTCCCCCTACCCTCATGGTATCGATACCCTCATTACTGGTCCTGAGGGGTTTATCTGTCCTGGATTCTGTGTGTTGAGAGCCCTTATCTGTACCAGGTGTATCTGTGATCTAACCAGATTTGTAAGTTAGAACTGGGGAGATGACAGTGGGGGAGTTGGGAGGGAACATTAAGAACTAGAGGAATGTTGGGTGTTTCGTCAGTGCTGTACTGCACGCTGGCTGGTCAGTCCCTTCCTTGTGACCCTTCTGTGAGGGGATATCTAAATTTCCACAGATGGGCTTTGGGTCTCCATTCAGACCCCCCTCGTCCACATTGAAATGGTTGTTTGTTTTGGGTCTTCTGATGGCTGATGCCTGATCCCATCGACACCTTGTGATCACATGGGGCAGTGTGCTTCTTCGATGTGGGCTTTGTTGCTTCCCTGCCAGATGGCCTTTTGTTTTACTTCAAGCCTTTTAGACCCCAGACACTATATATCTTGTAATAGCCGGGCACCATCAGCTTTCTTCACCACATTAGCTTATGCACTGATTTTGTCTTCAGTGATCGTGTAAAAAAGATGAGCATGATGGAATGCCAGGTTATTAGAACAAAGTGTTCCTGCATTCAGGGAGGACTTGAGTAGAGACCCAATGTCCGTCAAATATGTACATTTTAACATGTATGTTTTTAATAGGTTTATTGGCACATAATTCACATATTGCACAATTTCATAGCTCAGTCACACCATCACAATCAAATTCAGAACATTTTCTTCTTTCTTGTACTCATTATTAGCTTCCCTTTTTCTCCCCAAACTCCCCTGCCATGTCCCTAGGTAATTATTGATCCAGTCAGTGTCTTTATGGACTTACCTATCCTGATTTCAGGTGCAGAAAATCATACAAAGCACAAACAACCAGGAGAACCCAACAGCAAAGACAAAACAAAATAGAGAAAAGCCTCCATCGAAAATGAAGCAAAATATATTAAAAACTGAAGCAACTTTAAAAGGGGTCAAGAGGGAACTCAAATGATAAGGTGTTACCTTTTAACCCAACCGCATCCTCCACGATCAACTCCACAATGCGCTATCTGATGTGAATGTCTATATTTTAATACTGTTAGCAGCACTGCCATTCATCTGAGATATTAACTCAAGGTCATCTCAGTGTTTCCTCTGTAAACTTTCTAAGTGGGTGCTTATGTTCGCAGTAAAAGATAGCTCCGATATTTCCCCAGAATCCCCGGCTGAGTGGACGCAGGGTCCTTGACCCAGCCTTACTTGACCTCATAAAGAGCGTCTACCCTGACCAAGCCACCTGCCCCGGCATGGTGACCCCCTCATTGGTCACTGCATCGGGTCTAGTCCAACTCACAGCACCCCCATACGACAGTGCAGAGCTGCCCCATAGGGGGTTCTAGGCTGTCATCCGCATGGGGGCAGATGGCCACTTGGCCTTTCAGTTCGCAGCCAAGCACCTGACCATGTGCATGACCGTTGCTCCTTCCAAAATCCCGTTCTGAGAAACCTGTTTATCCTATCCTACAAAATAAGCCATGTAAAGCACAGTCACATTTCTTCAGTAAAGCCTCTTCTTTATCATTTGAAGGTGTATATGTGGGGGGACGGGACACTTAAAAACTCTGCCCCCAAACAATCTTGATACCAGATTTGGGGCAGTGGTAAATCTGAAGGTTTCAGGTAAAACTAAATGATCAAGGTCTAAGCCTGAGATCCATTTGAAATGCTCATCAAGTCTGAACTTTCTGCATGTTTTCAGAGCTAAGCTCAGTATAGACAAGTGTCAAGAATCCCTACAGAACCTTCTAGTACCTGGCGGAATTACTGATTGGAATTAAACACGAAAAGACCCAACAGGTGAGACCTGTGTGTGTCTGACAAAACAGGTATCCCTCTACAGGTCATTGCCTACTCAGATCAGATTCTATTTTGCTTGTTTACAAAGGCCCAATATCGATAAAGTATAACTAACAGCTGCCTATTGGAATAGTTTCATTGATGAATTAATAAGTAAGCATGTGACTCCAGGAAGCAGCTTGTGGGAAACATGGAGGGGGGAAAAAACAGATCCCTTTTCCAGTCTGGTCAATACTTCCAAGACACATCCATCAAGTGATGGAGAGACTGCCACTGGTGTACAATCCACTGGTCTGCTGCACACACTCAATGGGGAGCTAGCAAAACATTTCTGTCCCTGAGAAATGACAACTGCAGATGAGGTAGCCATCGTTCCCCCCAGTGGCTGCAACAGTGGGCTCACACATACAGTTGTGAGGACGGCACAGGGCTGGCCGTGCTTCATGCTGGGGTACGTGGGGACCCTGAGTTGGAGGCCACTCAACAGCACCCCACAAGAGCAGCAGCATTTCACAGAGTCAAACTCCGAATTCTAAATTTGCAGGCAGGCCTGGTTTGTCCACCTCGGTCCTCCTAACTCCACTATGAAGACTCCTTAGGGTTCTGCTATCTCTCTGCATCTGCTGTGTCCCCAAGAAGGTTGTTGTGGGGTGCCAGCCTATTGATTCTGACTCATAGTGGCCCTATGTGACAAATCTTACACTACCCTCTAAAGCAGGAGTCCTCAAACTTTTTAAACAGGGGGCCAGTTCACTGTCCCTCAGACCCGTTGGTGGGCCAGACTATAGTTTAAAGAAAAAAACTAGGAACAAATTCCTATGCACACTGCACAGATCTTATTTTGAAGCAAAAAAACAAACGGGGCAAAAACACCCGACCGACGGGCCAGATAT